ACAGAAAGGGTATCGTGCTGCAGTATAACAATGCAAGGCTACGCATTGCAAAACTCACGCAGCAAAAGATCAGAGAATTTGACTGGGAAACTTTGGCACACCCGATACACTCTCATGACTTAGCCCCATCCGATTTTCAAATATTTAGATCTCTACAGCATTTTTCAGATGGTAGATAATTTTCCAATTATGAAGATACCAAAAATGAAACACAAAAGTATCGTATTGAAAAATCAGGAGATATTTATAAAAAGGGTATACAAAAACTCATTTTTAAATAGCAAAATGTCGCAGACAACGACGGCGACTGTCTCATTGATTCAATGTTTCATGTACAATTTATAAAATTTAAATAAACTTTGTATTTAAGAAACGACATTACTTTCCGGTACCTCTAATAAATCGAAGGCTAAGGGTACATTTATTTTGTTTTGGGGAACGTGGAATTGTAGCTTCTGAATGGTGATTTTTATTTATGTGTGCTTGGTTTATGACTGTATGTGGACGGAATGCGTCACTTAGAGATTAGGATTTAATGTATTTGTATTGATTTTCTGTAGTAATGTTTGGGTGGGGTATTTAATAGCAGAACTGTCGAAGTTAATCATTTTAGATATTTTAGTCTGTAATTATGGAAAATTTATAGACGTCTATATAAGGATTTATTAAATGTATTGTTTAGTTTAGTATTAATAAATAGGTTCTTTTACGTTTATAAAATTAAATTGTGACAGTCTTAATGTTCGATAACTTTTGGTATGGATATATTTCGATTAGGAAAGTATTTTTAGATAATAAAGAGTAGTTTTGAGTAATGTTTATGTGTTTAAAAAGTATGAATTTAAAAATAATAATTTATTTTTTGATTGTGTTCTTTTTTTTATAAAACATGCCAACGTTGTTTTGCAGGAAAAAATCTAGTACATTCCGTATACATAGGCTTCACTTCATAAACTCCGCTATCTCAGATTAGTCCTTTTAATAAAGTTTATTAGTAGTTCAGCGAATGGTTTTTGTAGCCTTAAATTTACTCGCACAAACTGAAAACGGTGTGTTAGGCGACTACAATTCAACGCATTAACTTGTTTTTATACAAAGTGCATACAGAATGACGGTAAATTTGGGAAAGAAGTTAATTCATGTGAAAAAGTGAGATAAAGTAGTAGGATAAAATTCGTCGGACAATGTGCCTGATACTTAAACTTACCGTTTCTGCTTCTCCTAATTAAGAAAAATCTCAGAAAATTGTCAGTGCTAACTGACCTGGATCTTTAGGACCATGAACCACCTCCAGTTTTAACACTCTCCTCATCACTGAGTTTCAAACGTAATGCTCAATTTTTATTGACTTTACACAGAATGTTAAAGTTTGAAAATATTGAACCGTTGATATTTGCTTCCATTGCATACGATGATTAGATTCATAGAATATTTAATATCGAAAAGAATTTTTTTCCCCCCTTTTCTCTGCAATAGTTTTTAGTAAAAGTAACTTTTTTCCTTGATTTCTAGAAACATTCAAGTGTGCATGAAAAAATTTTTATGCTGATTTTTCATTACCTATCAGGCAAAAATTAAAAATAGAAAAACAAGTGTATATGAAACAACTTTTTAGTTCTTAACCTTTTAATTCACAGTGGCGTTGCTTTAGAACTATATATTTTAATATCAGTAAAATACGAACCAGTGGGCTAGTCGCAAAGTATAACATCAATATAATAATCACCTTTTTTTACAGTTAGAACAGCATTTTTTAAAAAAATATTTATTTTAAAAAATGGTAAGTGAGTTAACGTATATTGTGTAAACAAATGCATTTCTTTAAAAGTTTTTATTTGCGACCTAAAGGGGTGATTATTTCGAAAACGAAACCAAAATTTTAAGATATTTACCTTTATAATTCTTTGATTTTTTTAATCTTAAATTTTTTTTAGTTTATTATCAAATAATTTCTGTACACTAATTTCTCACTAGTAGTTCACTATTCCTCATGAAGAACAAAATAGACCTACTTAATATCTTTAAGATTGTTCTTGAAGTCATTGAAAATAGTCGAAAACAAAGGACATAGTTGAATGAAGTGCAACGAAATAGTCTTTGCCGCAACAGTGCAGTTTCATTTAGAAGAGTACAGATGTAACTCTACATTTCAATGGGGATTGACTGGTGACCTCCAGCAGAGGGTTAGTGTTCTACGTATCATCAGGGGTAGAGGTAGAACAGGGAAACAGTGGGTGTAGAACGAAGGGAAATAATTGAGACAGAGTGGGGGGACTAACGAAGACTGAGTGAGGCAAGAACCATAAACTCCAGGTACTATTTTGGACAACGACGGCCTATATCAAGGTTTTACCTCTTGTCTTTGCATAAACTTGTGAGCACGTACTCCTCGTTTATGCCGATGACAAACGGGCTTGTCGGTTGCAAGAACATTTGACTTCCCCAAATTTAATGGCAGATCTGTACGTGTAATTAGACTGTTTGCATTTACGGAAATGAAAATTGTTTAGTTATAATTGACATTAATATTAATCAATATGTTACACTTCTTAACTTATTAAATTCAAAATGCACTAGATACTAATTACAACTTGTTTTTTCACTTGTTTTTGTTGCAATTAAAAAATTCACTGAGATTTAATTGAATCTCTAATATACTTTATTCACACGAATATAACATTTTTAATGTTTTAAGCATTTTAGAGACTAATTAAAGGCATTTCATTTTCTTCGGAAATTATTAATGACACCATTAGAGGAAATTGTGTCTAATATTATTTAGAAGTCGACAAATCCTATTAATAATATGTTAATAGACTTTAATTATACGTTTCGATTAAATTAATCTACCATCTTCAACCAGAATGTTCTTCTATCGGTCCCTTTAATTCTTTTTCCGTACCATTTCATTTTATGTTAATGGCATAATTTATTCCAGCATCATTTATTATTTGCGTACTGATGTCCTCAAATTCGTGATTCCGAATGCCTTTCGACTCGCATCCGTTTCGAGCCGTGTATTTGGAGTTTCAGTGGTTGGCTTAACCATGTCTCAGTGGTTAAGTGATCGACGCCATCTGCTATGCCAGCTAGTTTGACACGGATGTTCAACGTTAACGATTAATTGCGATCGAGTGAAGAAATAGATCGTTTGTCAGTCATCACGAATGATTGGATGTCGAAGAGAGATCGAAATTAAGAGGAGATATGGAAGCAATTAGTATCTGCAATCGGGTTTCATCTGTTTCCCACGTTATTCGTATTGCATTGCGCGTTGAAATGAAAGCAAATAAAAGAACGGGAAAAAATGGTCCGTTCTCTCCGATCGTTTTACAAAATTCAGTAAAAAATTCTTTTAATACCGCGAATTGATACGCATTTGTTCATCACTTCGTTAAATAGCTCTCGATAAAAAGGAAAACAAAACAAAACAAAACGCAACATTTCTTCTCTATAAATATTCCATAGAACCGGATCAACTATTTCTTTATTAATTCGAAAACTGTTGTGACATTTTAAATGACACGTACCTACGCGTCGACTAATTTATTAAATATCGCGAAACTGACGTGTCAACATAATTGAGAGCACCGTGCGTAATGCAGAATTAACTTAAAGTGTTATACCCGTTAATTTGATTAAGCTCCGTCTCTAGAGCATGATAACGCTGATTAAAATTATTATTTAAACACGAAATATTAGCATAACTGGTAGGAAATATCGTTTCGATTCCAGCTGTATTTCACTTCGTTGAACAACAGCAATTAAATTACGTTTCAATATTTTGTGAATTTCTGTCTCGCGTTTCGCGATCGTCGCGTTGGTAGTTTGATCAGTCTCCATTTTTTCCCTCTTTTTTCCTCTTC